CAACTTCAACGATTCAAGCTGTGCAAATCAAGACATTCAAGTGAAGCCCCCATCACACCAAACTAGTTCTCACTACGTTCTGTAAAGTGTTGCCAAACGTGCTCAAACTGTGCGCGAACGGAGTAAACGTAGAAGCAACTGTTTACGATCTGATTAAGAACTCTATGGACGGGCTCGGACTGGGTTGCACTGGAAGGGTGCTCTAAAACTTTGAGCCTGTTCAAAATTGTCCCCGTCCCGCAATAAGACGGACTGACAACGTACTAAAACGAGATGGACGTACTACGAACGGAATTACCGTACTTCGGTCCTACTAGGAACGTGTTACGAACGAGGTAGAATGAGTTAAGAACTGGTTTAAATTGATTACGGACGGGCTTGGACTGCTTGGAAATGGCAAATTTACCCGATCTGAACTTGATGTGAACTGAATGTGAACGGGGTACAGACGAGATGGACGTATTGAGGACTGTTAATGAACGATCTAGGATCGTATTATAGACATTATTTACATATTCTAACCCGACCATTACCCGTTTTTGAACGATTTTCTAGGAGTGTAACACGTCCAAGTAGGATCGAATTACGGCAATTCCGTTCATAGTACGGCAATCAGTCCGTTTGTAGTACGTCCTCCTCGTTTTAAGTACGTTGTCACTTCGTCTAATTGCAGGACGGGACAGTTTTGAACAGGCTCAAAGTTCTAGAGCAGTCTCCCGTATAGCCAGTCTGAGCCCGGCCATGAAGTTCTTAAACATATCGTAAACAGTTGCTACTACGTTCAACTCCGTTCGCACACAGTTTGAGCCCGTTTGGCAATATTTTCCAGAACGTATTGAGAACTAGTTCGGTGTGATGGTGGCTTAAGATAAAGAGAAATGTGAAAAGGCGGGTACAAAGGGGTGCCGAGTTCCGATTTTCCCCTACACTAAACCGCTGAAGGGTACACGCCACCGGTTTCCAATATACGCCAGTGAAACTCGGATATAACAAGCGAAAAGCATGTAATGCGTAGGAGTTCAACTTAATTACTGAAACCAATAAATCGAATGGAATCACACAAAGACTTGTTGCTATGGATAGTATGCCACTCATGATTCACACATGTGTATAGGAAAAGTCAAGGCTTTATTCTCGTTTCCTAATCAAACAGCTTGAAATGTCACAATGATACTCTACCAGAAGAACTTTGAATAAACAGACAGACAAAACCCATCGCAAATAGACAATAAACGTCAATCACATATTTGGATAATATCATGTTGCCGTGGAAGGAATATCTCAGGAATTATATTGTATTGAGTGTCAACGTCTGATAATGTGATTCCAAGTTCTTCAGTGTACATATTTTGAATACTTAGTTTAAACAAAAATAGAATTATGCTTATGTGCGATGACAAATTTAAAGATAAAGACTATTCATTACATTTTTAATCCCTAGTGTATTGTACAATCATTATCAATAGTATATACTTTATTACTGTCTTTGAATTGTACACCGTGAAAAAGCATCACAAAGTAATGAGTAGTTCGATAGCTATATATCAACCCTCTTACGAAAACGCGAAATTGTTAGGATATGTGTTGAAGAAATTTTGTAATTGTTCTAATCAGCGGCACGACTGAATTATTCTTTTTCTATCTAAATAAAGCAAAATGCTGTACGTTCCATATATTGCTTTAATGAAATTGGACTTACTTTCCTGTCTGAAAGCCGATAAAAAAACAATAATTTTTCTCGGTTCGATAGGCCTTTCTGACGTGGGGACTTATCAAGCTATAATTCGGTGCGATGGGACTCTTAACAAAGTTGAGATGTCACTTCATTGCCATCCAACTCCACCTGAATATTCACCAAACCATAAGGTGAACAACTCGAGTCCTTTTGGGAATAAGCGAATGCTTCATCACGTGACCGACATTTACTGCCAGAGATAACAACGTCGGTTCGGCATCGCGTCGGTGGTTGCCGGTGATTGGCATTCAACGCAAGCTGACACGCTTTTAAGTCTATAACCAGGTTAACCTATGCCCGCTTGTGTTCTAGGAGTCATTTTGTTGACGCGCGAATATGACAGTGACTTGCTCGGTCTCTGACGCACCAGTTGAGAGGGACATCGTACACAATATGAAAGCAAAGTGAACTGCGCAATTATTACATTGAATTCATGGCGTATGTCCTTTATGCTGTCACGGGCTTCATTAGCGCATCTAATAACGCAAATAAATAACGCGCCTCGTGCATATGTGCAGAGTTGGTGTGTGTGAGACACTTCACTGTCACCTGACTCAATCTCAATACGCCATTAAATTCCATCCCCTGCTGGGTATCAGCGAACGCTTCATCACGTGACCGACATTGACTGCCGAAGATAACAACATAGGCTCGGCGTTGCGTCGTGCTACATTAGTTGTCGATCAACGCAGGATCACGCGTTTAAAAATGTCAGAGCAGGAATAGAATTTAGTGAAATTTACAATAGATTTCTGGAATGCCAATCGAGGGTAAAGATGACAAGATGTTATGACTACTTGCATACCCTATAAGTCAGCTTCCCTCACACCGACCACCGTTCCAGGAACATCATGTATTTCTATGTATAATGGAGCACAGAGATTCAACTGAACATTTTTTAAGTGAATGAATCTGCTTTAAGAATATGCGTAGATCTAGACCTGAAAAGGTGGTATATGCATTCCTATACAAAGTTCTGTAAAACCTTACTTGGCATTCAAAATAAACAGCAGAAACAAAAAGCTACAACAATAACAATAACGACAACAATGCCCAGTCTACATTTTTGTATCTATCTTTTCCGACTCCCTCTCGCGCTTCATTCCCACTCAATAGCCATCTCCATTAGATTGGAATCGGAGTCTAGGGCAATCAGGGAAACGATGATGACGTCATCCTATCAATTGCCTGTTGCTGGACAACAACACAAGACGTAATCGTCGTTTTTGCCTTTAATGGACTCCAATATCCGCAAAATTACCGCCACACTAGCATAATCTAAAAATACACTGATAATTCAATGGTTGTAAAAGAGATATGATTGGGAGAGAGAAAGAGATTGGGGAAGGAAGGGCATTACATGGATATACTTGCTTATAGAAAGAGCGAAAGAGTGGGAGAGGAGGGATAGAGAGACAGGGAGAGAGGGAGTGAGAGAGAGAGAGAGAGAGAGAGAGAGAAAGAGAATTAGAGGGTGGATGATACAGACATAGACATGCAAAGGAAATAGGAAAGAAAATGCATTTGTCAATAGAAAGAGAGAAAAGGGAGAAGGAGAAAGGAGGGGGAAATGTAAAAAGAGAAAGGGAATGTGAGGTACATTATTTTTAAGGGCACGTTAGTGCAATTGGCAAAGCCAGATTTTGTGAATGCCATTCTCATTTGATTAAATATCCTCACCCTGGCGCACTTTTCTGGCTTATTGATATACTTTTCCCCCTCATGCTTTCCTTGCGAGAAAAAAAAGAGCCGCACCTCAATATATGTTCCTCGTCACAAAACAGACAGGACAGTGAAAGCTTCATTAATCAGCTTTATCGTGCCTGCCTTCGCCCCGGACCCATCTAACAAAAAAGTGCATTCTGATGTAAGCTCGAGATAGAGTGGAGGCTTCATCCGGGCTATTTTTGCATACAAACCAAAGACTCCCCCTCCCCCTCTCTCTCTCTCTCTTTCACCATCGCGCTCTCCCTTTTCCGAGGGGCATTTCTATTAGTCTTTCATTTATCTTCAAAATACCCTTCATGAAATCCAACTTGGCGATCAAAACATATACGTCTTGCACCTCATGTTATGGCGGTCTGTTTTTATGACGTTTTTTTAAGACGGTCGAAGTTTCAAAATATTCTCGTATATATTGGGCCTAAGGCCCTATTGATACAGACAAATAAAAACAATCAGAGAAGTAGATTTGTTTTTCAGTAATATATTTGTATACAGAGTTCCCAGATTTGAAGGCTGAGTTAGGTTAAAGCTCATAATCTATACAGGCAATGCCAATGGACATACAAAATAAAGAACAAAGGATGAAAAAGAAACACACACGAAATATATTCGTTTTGGTTGCTAATTACTAGAATAATATTATGATATACTGATTGTGCCTATCAAACTGCAAGTAAAGGTCGTCAAATCTGTTCTAAATATCTTTCAAGATTTACTATGCTATGCTATCAGGTGTACTAAAGCAATCTATCGAGGGTTTCACTCTAGAAAAGAAATATTGAGCTGATTTCTCTTTTGAAGTCTATATCACAGTTTTAGCTGTCAACGTTCGTTACCGAAATGTAATAAAGATTTATTATTTTTCTATTAAGTTATGCTTTATCCGATTGAAACAAAAGGAAGTTATTATACAATAAGGGCAGATTTAAACAAAACAGACTAAGCTCATCTTCCGATCTTTCCAGCGGCGTATCCAGAAAATGCCGAACAGGGGGGGGGGGGCGGCAGAAATAAATCTATATTGAGAACCCGCGTTCCGTAGCCCCCGCTTAGTTTTTTTCCGGGGTCTAGGAGGGCAGAGGCAAACGCAGGCTTCACTATATGGCCTGAAATTTAGACAGGCCGTACACAGTTCAATACAGTGGTTTACTTTTAATTACTCTCACTTTTTCTGACATTTAGCAAAAGACGTGAAGAGCTCTGGAGTTTAGCTTCATTCGGCTATAATATTGAGTGACAACGACGCCTCAAGCTTCAAGATAAAAACTACCACAACTTTCGCAACAACAATCCATCTGCTGAACCCTTTCAGTCAATGTCAGTTTACAAAAATTCATGCGGCTTTTACCTCAATCTCAAGAAGTGTGCATAAATTGGCAAAGAAAGGAGATCTTTCATCAATATTCATCGCCATTTTAACGTTTCTACTGCTTAAAACTATTTTTAAACTTCGGCAGAACCATGTTGGAACACGGGTAACAATTGGGTATAAATTGAGATACCAGTGACATTTCAAGATTTCAAGTGAAATTAGACTCACCATCCTCATGTAAGCCATGATGGTCAATTGCTGTTGCGTCTCATCCTGCAAAGGAGGAAGAAAACAAAACAAAGAGAGAAATGTAAGGATGCGGAACAAGATACTAGATTGCAAATTGATCATGCCTTATTTCTACAATTGGTTTCAAGCCCGTGGAAGAAACACAACACCCTCAAACTAGGCTAAAATATGATTCAAGCGGCACATCGAGGGCAAACCTGATTATATTTTCTCTCTTAATACAAGCTTTGCTTTTATCCTTCTTTCTAGATTATTCTGATTCAATTTCATCGCCATAATCTTCCCTCCCACCTTTTTGGGAACATATGCCGCCGCCAGCAAGCAATTTCCTCCTCGTACTCCGTACAAAAGGTCACATTTGTCCACACGTAGTTTTGAGTGCATGCGTGCTTCCCCTTACAACCATTCTCTAAACTTTGCTTAGGAATTTTTTTATTCAATCTCTTTACCCTGCTCCCGAAATACTTCTCTTAAATCTCACCTACTCCCTTTATATTATTGTGATTGATCTGCTATGGAGCGATACCAGGATGCCATTTAAAATTACAAATAAAGTTACAAATAAAAATTACAATTACAAACGACATTACAATGTAGCCATTATAATTGGTTAATCAATCTTCTCTGAGCACCTTAATGTCAAATCGGCAATATAAAGTGTAAAATATAATAAAATTACACTACTTTTAGTGATTTGAAAGAAAATTTATTTTGTTTTTCTTTACTTCATTTCTATCAGGTTGGCTATGGCATCATTATCAGATAAAATACATCGCTTGGGAAGCAATAACCGTTAAGATACTTAATTGCAGGCTAATTTTTTTTTGAATAATCTCTTTTAAGTATCTTTCCCGTTTCTCTTTGTAAGAAAAAAGGGGACATCTGCCTACGAAAAACAATAATTATTCGTATATTCATAAGAGTAACATCAAATATATCGTTGAGGAAAAATGGAAAAACAACAAGAGATTTCTATTGACTTGATTGGAGTCGATCTGCTACATTGACGATTCAATTCAAGAGATAAAATTCAAATCCTAAACAATAGACTGCTCCCGCGTAATTCTGAAATTAGTGTGCGTAAGTATCACCAACAAAATCTCAGCCTGTATCTAAGAAAAAGAATCATGAAAACTTTGGTTTGGAGAGTGCTGCTTCATGGGTCAGAAGCATGGACTCTGAAAACAGCAGACTTGAAAAGGTTGGAGAGTTTTAAAATGTGGCCGTAGAGGAAGAGAGTAAAATTAAGTTGGGTGGCTTGAGTGACAACATTAGGGAGGTTCAGAAAAAAAAATGGATTGGGCATATTCTGTGGCATGATGGACTCCTGAGAGATATAATCGAAGGAAGGTTGGAAGAAAAAAGACAGTGGGGAAGGAAAAGAATTATGACGTTGGATGGTATCAAAGGAAAGGATGCGTACCAAAATATACCAAAAGGAAAGAGCTCAAGACAGAAAAAGCAGAGCGCCAGAGAGAGAGACAGAGAGGGAGAGATTGCTTTGGAGATACGTCGAAACTCTTAAATCTGTAGTTCTAGGACATAGCAAATTTAAAGTATAACGATTTATAAAACTAAGTGTTACTCGAAATGGATTTATTCTAAAGTCATTCACTACTAGAATCGTCTTAAGCTTGGTGTTAAGTGCAAATAGAATCTCCACTCTAGATTTGTTCTGATGATAAGACCAACGAAGATGCGACTGAGGTTTTTCAAGAGTGACCTTACAAATTAATGAAAGGAAATATTTAAATTAGGATGGAAAATTCTTAAAGAAAGATATTTGCTGCATATACAATTCAGCATGCTCGTAGCTGTGTCTCCACATATGCCATTAGACTGCTAATCTTAGAATGCATCGGCTACATCTTGCGTTCGACATCGATTCTGGATTATGTTATCCTTCAGTATTGTACTACCAGTCCAAATATGTACTTTTCTCGCAACCTTGTTGTTACAACTGCGCCGCTCACCAGGACAGGCTTTGCGCTTCACATGGTTCGTGTAGGTGTAGGTATAGTCCTTCAGTTCTTTTCGGAAATCCCCGAAGAGAGAAAGAGAGAGAGAGACAAACTGGTAAGAGATTTGATGTCTGCTGCTGATAAAGAACCTATTGTTTAAGATCAAATGGTATCCAAGACGATAAAATAAAAATAGTGTGAATATAATATTTCACGCCTGCGATATATGAAGTCATTTTGTCATGGACTGTCCAATAAGTTAAGCTTTTTGAACAGTGAACCAGTAGATAGATATGATCAGATAACATAAAATGAGTCATTATATTAAACATGATTTTCTCAATCAAGAAATATTAAGAGATGGATATTGCGAGAGAGAGAGAAATCGGGGATCGAGATATGGATAGATAGATAGACCAATAGATAGAAATGAGAGAAAGAAATAGAGAGAGGGGGAGAGAGAATGCGAGCGGGAGAGAAGGAGAAATACCGAGAAAGACATAGAACATGAAAGAGGGGGAATACGAAAGACAAAGATAATGTGAAAGAATGAGATAATTATGTAGAAAGAGAATGAGAGGGAGAGGGGTTGAAGGGGGAACATGCTAACATGAGCGTGGATAAGCGTGAGTCTAAGGATGAGGTAGTCAATAGTCAGATCTACCTCACTCTTGTATCGCGATGACGCAGGGCTAACATGTGGTTATGCTTGGAAACAGATATCATCACAGCTTTTTTTCCACCAGACATCACCCTTCTTACTCTTTATATATCATCCTTCTTGTATTTAAGTAGATGTGTCTACAAATATGTGAGGCCATTCTTGTCATTATGGGTTTAACCATTACGTATGTATTTCTTTCTATCTGTCAGTTCATCTTCATTTCCCCCATCTGCCTTAAACCGGCTTCCTTAATCTAATTTCTTAAACGAATTTCTTATTTTTACTTTGTTTAAACTTGTCAGTTTGTAGCTCCTAATCGCACATTTTAATCTTCAACTCTTAAACCAATTTATACCACATCTCTGCAATTTACTCATATTGCTGTGTCATTTGCTTATTATTATTCTTATTGCTTTAATATTCCATCGATATTTTGTTCTAAAAAGAAACACTAATGTTCGTTCCTATTATATATTTATTGACTCTATCAATCACATGCTTCACATTTCATTTGTGGATCTTGCTGACGTCACTGACAGTCACATTAACGTTGACATTATTTTAACATCCTGCTAGTACTCCGCCTTGAACATTTAGATGTACTTCTGGGCTTTTCCACACGACTGATGCTGCATAAATACTGACAAGATATAACCTTGAAACAAACGCACCGATTTCAATATGCTTAACGTGCATAATCTTGAAACAACATCAATGTATTCACTGATTGTGATGCCCCCCATCTTTAGACATCGTCATTTCTCTTCGTGTAGACAAGAAACTTCGCTACGGGGGCCAGGGTATCTAACACTCGTTTATTTATTTTTGGTTTTTTCCTAAGCGCAACAAATAAAATATAAAGCTTGTAGGCATAAAACAAACTTCTAGTTGTATTAATCATTCATTATTATGTTCGAGGGTGCAAATTTTGCATTTCTATTATTAAATCGGTCCATTCAAAATGCTTTAGCGTCTACCATATTTTTATATTTGTACATCCCACGTCGTTACTTGAAGAGGGTGGTCTGTTTGAGCTGAGCTTTAAGATGACTGTTTTGTACAGATAGTTAGGCACGATCAGTCATGTACATGGTAGCATATTATTGAACATATGCCCCATATATAGAAATATATACTTTGAAGGCTACATAATAGTTCTCGAATCAATTGTGTAGAATAGATTTTGATAGCCTTTACATATAATTGTCATCATCATAAGTATTATTATTGTTATTATTAGTATGATAATTATTATTATAATCATTATTTTTAGAATGAGTAGTAGTAGTATCACACCATCATTATCAAAGCATTATTATTTGTATTAGTATTATTATTAGTAGTAGTAGAAGTAGTAGTAGTAGTAGTAGTAGTAGTAGTAGTAGTAGTAGTAGTAGTAGTAGTAGTAGTAGTATCCTAATTATTCGTATCGCTTTTATTATCGTTAGGGCTTATAATGGTGAGGATGATAATTATAATTGGGATTAGAATTGAAAAAAATAGTCTAAGTATCATGTTTGGCTTAGACTGCTTTGTCAGAGGGATAGGGGTTTATCTCGTATTACTACTAAATTCACAAATTTCCTTTAGGATGAACTTTGGAGAAGTTAGGACAATAAATTCTCTTATTGTATTTTTATGCATAGGTGGATAACAATTCCAATCAAAATGGAAATCATTTCTTAAAGTATCTACAGAACAAAACAAAAATGCATAACCATGATGGAAAGTAATACATATTTGGATCTTGATCATGCACTTTTCTTCACAGATAATGTATTAGATAATTCATATGATAGTGGGATGGTGAGATAATGAAGAGCAAGCTCTCAATGAGTATCTTAAGATGTTATGCTTTCTTGACACTGAGGAAATATTTATATTAAAGCCTTAGTTGAACTTCTTTTCAAAACAAATTCACCAATCGAATTCACAGATGAATGTGTTTATTTAATTATTCATTCATTTATTTATTCATTTATTTATTTATTTTATTACATTTTCTTTAACATAATCAGGCTAGTCTAATCCAGAGGACCTGCTCTACAAGGGAGCCCTACAATGAAAAAAATAGTTCAACGTAATATATTAACCATATGAATACATGGTATTGATGATAACAACTTTTAGCTGAATTGAAAACACCAGCAAAAAGATGATTAAGAATAGTAGATACAGTGAAACGCTGGCTGATTGTCCATGCGACATGAACGACGTCCCAGTCACACCGTCGAACCGACTCAAAACTTACCGCGTATCGACAGAATATTGGCTATTCGTTGTGATGTAATGATTGTGTTGTTTGGCCTGTTATCGGTTTAGTGTCGCTCTTGTCGGTTTGACTGGGGTATTGTAATTTCAAAGACCAGTAGTTATTTCCTTGTAAGCTTCATAGCTAATAACCCCAGTCTCATATACCCCCAAATCAGCTCCAAACAGACCGATTCTTATTCATTCGTGGTAAAGTCACATGTTTACGGTCTGTTATCGGCCTCGGGTCGAACTAGTTGGTGTGGCTGGAGTATTGGAACGATGATGAAGGTGAAAGAAATAAAGGAATACTTACGAATTTGATAATCTGTGATGGTAGAAACCTGAAGTACACCCAGACAGGTCTGGCAGCATCACGCACAGGTCTAGCAGCCTTGTGGCCGTACTCAGTCATTAGTTTATTCACCAAGGTCTTCTCACCTCTACCACCAGAATAACTATGGACTATTGACCAAAAGAAAAGAGAAGAAACAGACTATATTATTACAAAGTCAATATTCAAATTTCTTCGTTGCTGAAAAAGAAAGGGTACATGTTGAATATATTAGTGGCATGTCGTGGCAATATGTATTAAATATGCAGCATTTAAAAAGTTGCCCCGTTTCTTTTTCGACTAAAGTACTGGGGGGCATTTAGCTGCACATTTGACCTTAAGAATAGTATTTGCGTACTTTAACAGCTGACAATCTAGTTGGTAATTTCATCCTTGCATTCTGATAATTTATCTTCTAATCATTACACTTCACTTATTCGACTCTGCCGTAATTATGGTAACTAGTACTACTTAAAAGCAAACACTATACAGAGACACCCAATGTACATGTATCATTGTTGCCTATATAACTTAGAAGGCATGCCTAACACGTATAAGAAGTATGATGCTTACTAACTTGATGAATGTTCATATAAATGGACTTCAATTCCTTGGCAGACGATGCATATCTGACCATTAAGTGTTCTATTTTCTTTACTTCTTCGATGGACAAACAAAATGCCTTGTATGACAGATCTGTAAGATGTTGAGCGATGGCATATCCATTGGAAATATAGCTTAATGGTTGCATCAAGCGGCCCTTTACGTCACATCTAGTTTATCTATGACTGTATCATTGGTCCGGGCAAAGTGCCGTTTCTGCGTCTAGATGGAGTCCGAGATTGCGGGCCGATGTAAAGATGTAAAGGAGACTTAAAGGGAGGTCAAACTATACTGGCTCTGATTTATTTTCCATTTTTGGAACCATTCCCTACATTGTTCTAGTTGTTGCATCATGTAGGATATCATCAGAGTTCTCGAATAATAAGTCTGCTACATTCTTGAATCGTACTAACCTGAATCGTACTGAGCAGAAGCGCTCATTAGAAATTTCCTTCAAACTTTTGTTTGCAGTCGATGACCTTCTGTTAATTAATTTCATAATGATGGCGATGATGATATCAACAATCTACTAATTTGCATATTACCGATCCAAGGGGATGCTCAAAACACCCGACAGAGATTTGTTTTAGCATACTCGAAAGCAATATAATTAAGATTATATAACTAAACTAACAACTGAACAAGCCTGATTTCTAATTGTATCTGTTTTCTCTCTCATGCCAAATTTATATGGATGAGTCAACGCCAAAGGACTTTTTTTGGGTGTCTGTAACAATCCTTATAATCTTTTAAAATATCATGATTACAACAAATGTTTTCGTATTGTTTTTAAATACCAAAGAATAATAATAAACTCTTGAACTTGCAAATAAAACGCTTAAAATATTTCTCCTTGAGTATTGGTAACATTGAACTCTCTTTGAGATGGTAATGTTTGATGACGGCTTTTGTATTGGAAACCTCTATGAAGCCGACCGTCAATCTAAGTTCAAGGCATATCACTGGCGTCGAGGAGCACAACCATGGGTAAATTGTGCCCATTATTGGGAACCTTCGACAAGGCCAAGCAATCTATACACCACCACAATTGCTTGATTATCAATCTGGGGCTGTTTTACAGTCGGAAACCCATGACAAATTATGAGCATTCTGGGCTACAAAAAGCAGCGCCCATTTTGACCGATTTAGGACTATGCACTCATCAGTCACACGGACATTTTACGCCGGAGATTTCCATTAATTTCGTCCAATCAGTGCACTGTCCTCGCGAAGTGCAATCGACGAAATTGAACCCCTGCTTTGAATCATGCAAGGCAAGGCAAGACATTTCCCCCGAACCCAACCTTATTCTTATTCTTACATCTTCAGCCTCTACACTCGACATTGACTTAACTTAAAACAGGAACTACTTATGATTTATGAATTTATTATCAGGGGGCATGCTCAGAATTGGTTGGGACCGGCAAACAAAATCATCCCTCCCTTTTGAAAGCCAAGAAATGAAGAGAACGGTTGCAGTAGGGCTGCCAAAACGCAACTACTTACCTTGTTTCATAATATGTACCTTTAAACTGCTTACACAGTAGTGTGAATTCAAATGAGTTCAATCCGGTTTCTGATTTGATATTAAGCTATGGAGGGATTATCCAATCCCATTTTAGTATTACAAAAACTCTAGGTCGAATGAGTATTACGCGTCGTCTTCTTTAGATATGAAACTATTACTTCTTTCGTCTGACGTAATTAGAAACTATTCATACTGAAAATGATTCAAATATTGTTTTTGGCCTACGGGGTAAGAATTTTGAGATCCATCGGGGGGAGGGGGTATCCTTTAAAAGGGCTACCTTTATTTGTCTTGATGTAGGTAGTTCATATTATACTTTGGGCCATTTTGTACCAATTCACCCCATCTTGACCTGTTAATGTCAAAGAATAAGCCGAAAGAATCCACGATTCTGCATTTTACTCTCATGATTCCATATGTTAACAAATCATACAGTTTTATCAAGGTCAAGTAAGAATCTGGAGTTCAAAGATGAATGGGGGAGATGGGATGAAGACACAATCGACTTCTCCTGCGTTAACCCGAGTCAAGCGAAGCACAACGATGTCTGCTCCACCAAGCGGATAATCTGCCTTTCAAACAACGGAACAGCTACATGTAACCCGGTGCGTGAGAAAGGTAAAGCAGCGGCGGATTAAAGGACTAGTACCGCATGGTTGCCATTCTTATAGCCTTGTCCCTCCTCCTTTTCTTCTCTCTCTCTCTCTCTCTCTCTCTCTCTCTCTCTCTCTCTCTCTCTTCGCTCGTTTCCTACGCCATCTCTATGGCTCATCCAAGTCCTTAACCTCTCCTTTCCTCTCTAGATCTCTTCCCCCCTCTCTCTATATCTTTCTCTTTTTTGTTTTTTTCTCTCTCTTTTCAATTTTCTTTCTACCTCCTTATCCATCTCCTCTCTCCCTCTATCTTTCCTCCTTTCTTTCATTTTCTTTTTCCTCTCCTCCCTGTGTTACTTCTCTGACCTTCTTTTTTCTTTCTATTTCCCCTGTCTCTCTCCAGTTTCTCCAACATTCTTGTTTTGTTTATGTGTGTCTCTCTCTCTTTCGCTATTGCCGTTCCCTATTGCCTTCCATTCTGCCCCTATCTCTCTCCCCTTTCTCTCATTCTCTGTCTCTGGCTCTGTCTGTATCTCTGTCTCTGTCTCTGTCTCTCTCTCTCTCTCTCTCTCTCTTCTTCACTCTCTATCTCTCTCTCTCTCTTTCCTCACCCCGTCTTTCTCCCTTCACTCGCTCTCTGTCACACAGAAAAATAGAGGATCCAATTTGCACCGTCAACGGTTCGATAGAAGCACTCCAAAAAAGGTTCTATTTTGAACTTCAAAATTCTTGTGCAGCAATGTGGAATCTTTTAGGACGAACCGGGTTTGAACATTTCTACAATATGAACTACAAAAGATTCGATAAAAAAAAACTGAAATGTTAGATTGTTCCTCCCTTAGGGGCACTGCTATGGTACCGCTTTCGGATGCATTTTGACATTTGTTTCTTGTGCTGTGTTTTATCTACCCCCTCTCTCTCTATCTCTTTATACCTCCAACCATCTTTCTCCCCCGTCTTATCGATAAGATCGTATATAGATGCGGAAATGGAGGAGAATATGTCGGGATCTTCAGACGGGGAAAGGGAGGAAGAAACAGTATATAATTTTACACGGCGTGGTGAAGGAAGTCGGGCAGTACAAAGAGTGCAGGTGGGTGGGTGGGAATGAAGGAGTAGAAGGTGATAGATGCGGCATGGTCAAGGCGGGTTACGTCAGAGGTATCATGCAAACAAAATGACACGCGAATGAATTAAATGATGGGATGATTAGAATAGGATGGACACAATAGGTGCGCTGGAGATGAATACAAGGAACATACAGTGGGATTGAAGATGGGATTAGTGCAATCAAAGAGACTTGTATTTGTCGATATTAAACAGCCTAAAAAATAGAAGAGTCTAATAATAAATATCGAAAGTGATCTAATGCGTTAACATAGTTTTCGATAAATGTGCTTTAGAAAGGAAGAACAGACAGGAACAACAAAGAATTTTGAAAATGCTACCGAAGTTAATATTTGTGTACATGTATGTATCATAACGTGATGTTTAAAAAAACACCATGGTTTTACTTTATCTCATTAAGCAATGATAGATGAGACTTCGACCTTAGATATCAGGAAAAAGAAAGTCCGCGTGCAAGTAAGACGTCTATGATATCCACCATGATATAATATATGATTCATTTATTGATAGAGATAATTTGAATGTGCCCTATATACTCTAACCTATTACTGCGTGCAACATAGACCAGAGGGTATAATATGTTTATATAAGTCATTGACGTTATCTTGCTAGACGCCAAAACAATTTGTTCTAGGATAACACAGACAGACAAACAAAATGATTCAAAGCGCAGGGGCATTTTTTCTGAAAATAGTAAGATGATTAATTTCAGAGAAATCAAAACGAACTTAATGACCTGAAAATCTTCGAAACCAAAACATAACTTATCATAATTCTTGTTAAAAGGCATATTCTACCACGTCTTTTGCGACAGTATAATACAATATTTCTGATTTTCAAATTTGTAAATACACAACAACATTATAACCCTCGCTCTTTTTGTATTTGTATTTTGATTAAAAAATGTATTCAAAATATTAATGTCTAACCATCACAAGTTTCATTTAAACCAAAAACAAAAATCAATTTATGTTTTTATTTACTACAATCGTCTTCAGCTAGCCAACTGTAGGTATAAAATAAAAAAATGTCTCGTGGATCAGTGCAACCAAAGCAGCCTTTTGTATATACAAAATGTGGAGTAACAAATTTGACAGCTGAATTTGATAATCATTTCAGGGTTCTATTTTAGTTTTCATGCATTTTAGCAGAATCATATTCGCTATAAATTCTTTCAATCCATTGCTTAGACAAATCTAACATCTAACTATCTATATACATGGACATAAATTAACTTATAATTGCATTACATCCGTGTAAAGCTTCTCTGAAAGTATAACTGTCACTTCTTTCTCCTTAGTCTGAAGAGCAGCTGGGTAGTACATCATGGTGTACTTGGGAAACATTTTAGCAGACTTCACTCTGTATTGTCACTCTATATCCTAATCAAGTTTGGCAGGCAGCAGTGCCATCTAATTGACTATGGTTTGCTTCTGTCACGTCTTAGATACAATTAGAAGAGAATGAATAATATCTGGTAAAATGTAAGAAAATACAGAGATTTTTCAATAAATGAAATGAGAAGGGAAACGTCATTTTGGGACGAAAGGTTACCCAACGTATTTCCATGGCACTTCGCGAATAAAAATAATTTACTGTTTGGCCTAAAATATCTCTCTTCCCGGGCCTCTTATCTCACAATATCAAAAATATCAAAGGAAATTTTAACAAGATAGATAAAAGAACTATACAAGTTGCATGCTTTTTCCGTTTGATACCAGAACAGCAAGGGCAGCTTGAAGAAGATTTTATACCTTTAAAATTATCCCCCTTCAAGAGGATCGCCCCCAAATTAAGTACTAGGTCAAATCAATCAATATGGTTAGGAGTCTGCGAATCCACCATAGACAGCCACTGCACTTAATCACCAGACGACTGCCATAATCTAAGTGGGATAAAAATTGATTAAGTGTTCCATAAGTTGCAAAATATTTTTTTTACGAGTCATAAGTGCTGGCTAGAACGGTTCAACGCGTCATTATGGCCACGGATTCTAATAATGAGGAATATTTCTCCTGCAATAAGACAGAGATGGCAAAAATAGGAGATATGGCTGGCGTCAGCAGAAACATTCACGATTGTAATCTAAATGTTAATTCAAGGCTTTCACGAACTTAAGTCGACAGTGGATATGCATTGATCGACATTAATCGTTATCTATTTACATCGTTATTCCTACACAGATTCATTAAAGTTTATGTTCAACAATCGTATGCAGTCAAGCCTCATTCAAAATGTCTAAATATATCAATATACAAACTGCGTTGATCTGAGATAGGCAAGCGCGTAGCCAGAGTTCGACGTTTGGGGGGGGGGGGGGCAGATATATGTAATCGATCGAGGTCAAAAAAGGGGTCTAAAAAAGTTCAACCGATCTTGGAAATTTTAGGGGGCACGTGCCCCCCCCCCCCCCCCCCCGTGGCTACGCGCCTGGAGATAGGTCACATGCATGGTTATGCCAAACAAATGGATTTTGTTCATGCTTTAAGTTCACGTCAAAATAATGCATCAATTTGCTCACCATATTTATAGGTTTCTTATGTTTTTTACAAATTTGTTTTCTGAAAATGTTCAAATACGCAAGGTTAAAAAAAAACATTCATTCCTCGTAGGGTTTTAAATGCTGATGACTCTAAGACAAGTTAATTGAATCATTACTATATATCACCGTATTTATGAACGCTTTGAGAATTCAGTTATATCATTATTTTGAGGCCTATTTGCGTTTCCATTAGAAACGGCATCTAGTCGAGTAAATGTTGTAAAGAGGTGTTCCCTGACGGTCATGCTTTATACGTCTAGAAATTGAAAATGAAAAAAGAAAAATGTTACAATACTATCGCTTACCACATTCCAGACAATAGCAAAGATCACCTGCTAGACCTATAAATATATGCTCTACATCCACATGCAGGCACATGATGAGATAATGTTGACCTTGTGGAAAGAAAAAAGTGCATGGACATTCTGCATCTTATATTAGCCAAGCTCATATAGAGGCTGTCCGGGCCATCATGACGCAGATAACCAATAATCCTCCTTCTTTAATATGAGATCCGACCGATATAACGGAGAAGTGAATTTGATTTTGACCTAGATAATAACGTTGCCATGCAAGGACACCTGCGTTAATCAGCCGAATTGAATATTATAATTAGGGTATTCTTTTTTGGTATGTTTTAACGGTTATCATGGTATTTGGCGTCATTATAATTATATTCATCTGCGTTGCAAAGTAAGTAATACTAAAAGCTAACAATGCGCATGGAGTCTTGTGATAGAAGCATCTGTACCATATTTTCTATTAAAAAACAAATGTTAGTGAATACAAACAAAATTAAATCGATGGAAGAGATATGTGCGTGCGTAAAACAGAAACTATAGGGAAGAAATGTTTTAAGTTTTACAAAACAGCAATACAAAGGCAATGAGAGAATGAGTTAAAAATAGCAATGATTGGTTTACTAGTGTTCCGAATGATCAAGTAAGGAAATACGCAGAATACTGAGAGATGCCCAAACGGTGTTCTTGATACCGTAAATTCAATTGGGGGGGGGGGGGGGGGGGGTTGCATGTGGGTTATTTCCCCATATGGCAAGCATGAATATGTGCCCCCATTAAATTAATATTATTTCCCAAATGGTTTAGTGGTCCATTATCTCCTTGTTTCACTTTCAATAGACTAGGGTAAAGAAGGACCGCTTCTTCTACGATTACCACATTTAACACAATCGCCAATATTATAAAGAAATCAAATCAAGAGCAATTTCAATTCCTCACTGTAATGCAAATATAAATCATGTTGGATTAATATAAAAACCTGTTATTGAAATTTGAGCCCATTTTGGTGATGGACACGGCTATATAAATTGTCCAAGGTTGATTTCTCAAAAGTCTTTGCGATCCTGTTCAATTGTAATTGCCCCTTGGTTTCGCGACATGTGCTCCTGCGACAATGCTTTCCGGTCATTTTCTCACACTAATCAGTTTCCTAAATTCATCTCTGAACCCAACACAGTACATACCTAAAATGTATGACCCCAAACCCTAACCTACAACCCAATCGCGACTCTAGCCCTAAGTTTCTACCTTTTTTACGAAATGAAGACCGCAGTAAAACGTGGCCGTAGTACACTTCGGTTCACCTCCGTCTAAAACACTTGGTTTCAGTCCCGATTCCTTGATTATTAAATCTACCAATTCATAACAAGACCGGAAAAGATCCATGTTTTTTTCATTGATTTTGAACACTTTGAAAACGCAATTTCTTTTTAAAATATGTCGGGTTCCTATAATTTCAATTTATTTATTCTATTACTTATCTCTAATGTTGTTCTAATGTTGTTGCATAATACAACGTATTCATCCAACAACAACAAAACACAAAACAGAAATATCTTCTTAGGAATGTGTTTTCGTTTTTAGAATAATTATCTAAGATTTTATTTAAAAAAAACCGTGTATTAATACACTTAGCCTTCTATTACATTTTATCATTTTTAAATCGTTTTAAAAAGAATAACAAAGCAACATTTCATTCATTGGGGATTACCATGGTAATCCCTCGCCCAAATTTTAAACTGTTAGGCCACATGAAAAGCTACTCGAAAAGGAATATATTTTAAAACCAAGATAGTCGAAATGATAAACTAGACGAGACAGAGCGAGACTGAAGGAAAGATATCATCCAGATACCGCATATAATAGCTCAGCTCGAAAATGTGATTAGATTACCGTCTTTTCTAAATAATGGTTCTCAAAAGTCTTAAATCTGCGAATTCCAGCAATCATTTTTATCCATCTTAAAGTAGCCTCAATAGCAATCTGATTTCTCTTCTGGTAAACCAAAGATTAACTGCTGCCCGAAAGTGATATGAATAAAGAAAGAGAATTAGCTGCTATGATACCCGAACATAACCATTCTATTGGCATTCTTCTATCTGATCGGATTTAACTAAGCTTTTCTCGAAATACCCGTGAATAATAAGGATTGTAAAAAGAGCTTTAGTACCAGTGCCAATTACATATATCTACCACACAATCGACGGTTTCGAACGAAACATCTGTCCATCTTGTAGCCCCTATTATGCTTAATGGTATCAGACTGCGTGGTAGAATATTCATTATGCTTTGCTATGCTCTTCAAGCAAATTATATTATATATTTCTTGTATTAAAAGAGTCACTTACCCGTTTGACAATGCATAACCAGGATCGTCACTAAAAAGGAGAAGATAAAGATCGGTCGATACATCCTGTGCGCCATTATCTTCTAAAGATGTGTAACTCTTCTCACCAAAAACTTCCTTCCAGACAAAATTGAGATAAGAGAAGAAGATAAAAGAGAAAGAAAAAAAGCAGAGAAACACGATCGCGGATAACGAAAAAACCTTGCAATATCCGTCACCAGGTTAGCGTATTCCGAGCATAGGCTTTTCTTTTTTTAAAGGAGAGAATATTATTCCGAGGAGATATCCGAAATTAAAAATCTCAGTTGTTTGCGCGGGAGTTCCAATACTTAAGACTGATATAGAAAGCGAGAGAGAAGGGAAATCTCGCTCACCTACCAACTCTGAAGGACTGACTCGATGTAATAACACAGCTATAGGAGTACAACGGCAATATGCTAGTCTTTTATTCAGTCGTGCTTAGCAGGTTGCTACTTCTATTTCGTTTATTACAAAAAATATATAGAGGTATACCAAAAAAATGTTAAACGTCAATAGCCCTTTCCCCTCTATTTAAGAGGGTTGAGGGGAATAATAATTAAAAAAATACTTAGCTATCCCCTCCCTCCCTTCTCCTTGTCACTTTGTCATCTCTACGTTGTAGATCGTATTTGAAATCATTCTCCACCCCCCCCTCTCTCTCTCTCGCTCTCTCTCTCTCTCCCTGTTGTCTCTCTGTCTCTCTTTGTCTCTGTATCTCTTTGTGTGTGTGTCTCTCCCTCTTTATTATTTTTATTTTCCGGAGGAGACCCTTACCAAAATACTAAATATCATTTTCATTGTGGTATATCATTTTGAACCATGTGTTTCCTTTAACCCTTTGCGGAGGTGCCACTAGACCATATTTAATTATTTAAGGTGTGGGGTAGCAGAATAATTCGCCGACAAGCAAAGAAAGAGAAAAAGAGACATCAGTTGTTATATATAGTTCTCCGAAAACACCAAGCTTTCCTTTATAACATTTTGAATACACTACTCCAACGCACCTGCCCCGTTTTCTCATCTTTAATGTATTTTCGTTTTCTTCCTTTCCCTTTCTCTCTTTTGCCGAAGTCGCTTTAATCTCTTCTAATTCCACAGGTAAGTCCAGATCAGTATTGAGCAAGAGCAGTTTTGTTTTTTTAATCTCAGGGGATATTATTTCAAAGAGTTTTAACGAAATCACTAAAACCAGACCTTCTTTTTCAATAAATTTATTTTAAAAAATAGATTATATGTTTTGCTAAAGTGTAGTCTGAGAAAACAAACATATTTGTTGTGTTTTTTATTCTGACAGAACCTTGCATGCAGTTGGGCGGTTTAGGAACTAGGGCACGTCGTAGACCGATGGCATCTAGCCATATCTGTTTGATTTGTTTTTATATCAGGTAAGTTCCACTCAAGCTCATAATTAAGTAAGTACCCATGAGTCCATTGAGTTTATTTAGTGACATGCACTGAACCACCGGTCGCTTTAAATTGAACACAAACAATATAGTACGTTCATTCTTAGCCTGTCATCCTGCGATCCTGCAGACAGGTAAAACAAACTCGAATGCTTAACCGAGTGATGGCGTAGCCAGTTTTTCATGGGGGGGGGGGGGGGGCAACTGACCCAACTTACCGACAGACAGTAAGTGAGTATAGAAAATGTCCACATTTTTGTAACAGGAAAATGGTATTTCATTCACTAAGCTTAACGGTAAACCATACATTTTGTTATTTTTTACTATATTTTTACACATTATTTACACACGCATGTTTCTTTAGATCTTCTTCAGCTTTCCATTTCGTTTATTACTTTCCAACTTTCTTCATATATGCTAGTATAGTAGATCTGTTCGTTTGTAATACATGCATATTCGGTTGTATCATCCTCACTTTGTGTGTTATATATCCATTTCTGTTAATTGTGTTTAAATGTAAACACTCAAAATCTAAATGTTACGAGAAAAGGGAATGAAACGCTTTGTCCATTTTCTTTTTCTTGTTTTGCTTTTCCCACTCATCCACGTTTGTAAATTCGAATTCTATTATTTATGATGTGCACTATTTTGAAGTTTCCATTATTATCATTGTTATTCTTTCCTTGAACTAGTTTTTGTTTCTTTTCCATATCGATGTACTTGTAATTTTGTCAGTTTTGTTTGTACATGTATCAGTCTCCCGACTGTTTTAACAAGGAATTTTGATTCAATAAACCGAAATTAATGAATGAAGAAAACAAATTGTGGGTTGCATTCTTCATGTTGATTTTTATCAACGAAATTTCCAATTTACAGACAAAAACTCTCATAAGGCGTCATGGTTCCACTGCCCCCTCCCTATTTGTCTGGCTACATGAGTGGAGATAAGGCCATACAGGTAAGTCAGACAGCTGTCGCCAAGTAAACCTCCAGAACAAACACAGAAATCCCCAAATATCACGCGGTAGATGTAGAATTATCTCATTTGACTCGGCTGTTTAGAATTTCGAAGGTAAACATCATCATTCGAAAAATCACAATTATCATCTTACGCAACGCACATAATCGTTTACACGCAGATGTATTGCCAAACACACTGTCAACTGCAGATATTGAAACAGATGACCATAACAATTGTATACAATATGAGCTTGAGTAAAATTTAATTGGTACAGTTATGATTGCACATCGCGAGTATGGACGTTGATAGATGAAAGCTTTGTCGCCTAATATTTTATATATTTGGCCTTTCTCGGACCCTCCTTGTGATTTCAAAGATATCCATTAAATCGTGTTACAAATATACCAAATATCAACTTTCACCAATGTCATTTGGCTAAATTTAGGGTTCGAAGATATTCTTTATTTCAAAGTGAACTAGAAATGATTTGGGAGACTAAAACAACAAAAATACTCTGGCGAATTAACGAATGGCCCTATGTGTTTAATATCAAACCCGGGTATTCTATCACCCTTTAAGGATACTATATCAATATTTAAAGAATGCAAAACTGCTCTTAATACATTATTTGGTTGATAATAAAAAATTGAGATAAAGCTGTTGGAACCCTTCAAAGTATATAATTCTTTATATCAGGCGAACTGGACTTGCTATAAACGTAAGGTATTAATCGCGTTTACTTCCGGCAACGTTTTTACTTGCACTATTATGTAGACACCTCGCACCTGCACACCTGGGCATCCATATGTTGCCAGTCGCCACACACATGCACTTCCACATTTGCAAAATCTTCAGCATTAAAGGAGGCAGATTATCCTGAAGAAGAGAAGAAATAGGTAATAGATTTTTTTTGTATTTATATAAACATCGTTGCCTCCCCATAATTACTTTTTAATTAATGTTGGCTAGATAATTAAAACGACATGAGTAAACTATCGAATCGTATGATATTCATTAAGGTAGGTAGTATTAAGTTTCAAATCGATCGTGCCTTTACAGTAAATAGAGATGGAGCTTTATAACATGCCAAAAATAGAGACATAAGCGATCTGTAAACAAAATCGCAAAGACTTTCGATAAAATTAACCTTAGACAAAATTCAATAGATTTCGTATTACCTTTTGAAAGTTGCGAACATTACAGTAAGGTATTTCATAATTCGAACATGAGTTAATAGGAATGTACAATATGGCATTGAATTTTTCCTGGATTTGATTTCTCTTGAGTTATAGCGTACGTGTTTGCATACTCCATTAACTTGGCGTCATAAATGCAATGACTTTTTAACAAGTTCTCTGTTTCGAAATTATTTTCTCCTGTGACCTTTTCATTGTAGAAATGTTTGACTGCCCTACATATCTTCAACACGGAACATCTCGACTCGCCACATGGATACGATAAATCTAGCTCAGTCACGATGGGAAAACGATTTGAAATAAGAGGTCATCTTGATTGATTAAAGAACCTATATACACTGTGCAATTCCACCACTTGTGCTTTCAATTAGCTTGTCAATAAGTATCCAGCGAAACGTAGCTTTGGCGCCAGATAGCTATACCTATTTACACCAATTTACGATTAATCGTCGGTATCATTAACTATTAATTTGCGGGTGAGCCTGAAAGTCTTGCAGGAATGAATTGTAAATATTTTGTTCGATAAAAAGTTTGTACATATTTGCCATCGTTACATTAACATAGGAGGAGGATTCAGCTGGTCTTCTGAATGGTCATCTCAGCTCGGGACGAACAACTTAGAAAAAACACAAGAATTTCTTTATTTATACATAAAGAAATTATTACTCTGACAATTTGTCTGAGAAAGTAGGCAATAGCATACAGTACTTCATTAATTTCGCTAAATTTCTGTTTTATGTGTGAATCATAATTCTTTTGGATCTTGCCCCCTAAACAAAAAGAGAATAACATCAATTATGATTTTACCATTTGACTAGAGGGTATGAATTCAAGTATATAATTTCACGAAAATCAGGATTCATCTTCAAAATTCCGCATAATGGATTTAAACGAACTAAACAAAGACATTTCCGAAAAGAACATAATTATTTTTTTCAAACGTTTACAATTGAAAAAGAAAAGAAAAACAACGGCATGTTAAAAAACCTCACTATAGAAGAAGCCTGAAAGACAAGGGATTCTATAAGCAAGCCAATGAGATATTTCTATTTTCAATTAGAGGTTCCCAGTGAAATTTGTGCATTTTGTTTACATAACACTTTCAATTGAAACAGGTTGCAGTAAGACTAATTAAAAATGACAGATGCCACCAAGTTTATACGATGGCATTTATTACTTTGCTGTCTTATAACGTGATCTCATTTACCATGGCCCAAGAGTGAATGTCGGTATAACAAGAAATAGTGATCTATGACAATACATGGCTTTGCACTCATTTGGTTTTCATATTTTTTAGGATAAAGATATGATTCATATTCTTCTAATGTCTGATCACATCCGCAAAACTACGGAGAAAAGCATATTTTTACGACAACCCACATTGAACTCGAATAAACTATTCCGATCGAAAAATATTGACATACATGTTGTAAAAGAAATATGTGCAAACATGTTAAAAAAGAAAATGGAATGAGCTGTGAGCATCTTCTGAGATTGAACCAAAATGTCATAATTTCAAAGATAATCATTTCAAAATATCTTTAGGAGAGCTCTTATTGCCCCTCATGTCCTTGATTCGTGGAAGTGTTAATACAACTCTTGTTTGATTTCATGTTTACTTTCATCGTGTACCTGTAAATTGGCTGAACCCGCGGGCAATTTCGGGCGCGATATTTTGAGTACGAATAACAAATTTTCAATATCCTCCTCTATTCTTGTTTGGCAGCTCTCTTCGCTTCTGTAGGCAAACATGTTTGATAAGCCAAGTCAAGGAAAGATGG